TGACTAAATAGCCTCCGTGTGTAATAATAACTTTATTCAATAAACGCGACAGTTTTTGGTAACATTTATTACTTGTAAAACGTGCTTGAGCATATAATTGACAATTTTGTTAAACACTAATATCTTTTTTTCTCTCCAATTTAGCCTTAACTAAAAGTTTTTTAGTAACTTTTTCGCTTTTTGTTTTTTACAAGCCGTTCCGAGAACGTTAGCACGTGCCACATACTGTATTTCTCCGAATAAAGCATCCCCTGAGCAAAGTGTCCTTCAGTAAATACCCAGGTCCCTTTAGAATAGATCAACACTATCGATTGAACTGACCGTCACAATATCGCTTTTGATATCTTAAGTTACCCTACAAACAGAATGCGTCTGCAATAAGAAATTTTTATTTTCGAAGGACCACGGGGAGCAACAAAACAAACCCCCAAGTTTCTGATCAGTTAATGACGAAAAGATAATACAGTATTATTATCAATAGCAAACTTTGGATTTCATCAAAGTGACAAATGCCTGCTGCCCTTTTAAAAAATTGGTATACAATGTTAATCGCAAAATTAACTGTAGATATTGCTAAAAAATTACACATAGTAGAGGATGTGTGTGTCTCTTTGACCAATATTAGTATATTATATAATGGATCAATCCATTTTGGAGCGTTGAGATAGCTCTATTGATTGATTCAAATTCGGTTGCGACTCTGCCAAAATTGTTATGGTAGTTTTGAAGAACTTGTTTGATTCATTGAGTCTTGCAATAGAAATATTAGGCAACGTAAAGGTTTTTTGATCCTCTGCAACAAAATTTCGTCACGTGAGGTAAATTTGGCATCGCGAGTGGCGAGTTCAGAGTATTACGAGTTCAGACTTCTTGGACAAGTTGTTGTTTGCTGACTTGTGTTACATACCAGATACCAGCAAAAACCAAGAGAAGACTGCATTCAATTACTATGATTTGTCTATGTTATGAAACATCGTTTATATTTTTTGGGTATGTGGCCACAAGAAAAAATAAATTAGCGAATGGAACGCGCAACCAATTCACTGCCAATTCTGTTGATTGCACATTTCTTGTTCGTTAAATTGAAGTTGAATTGTTGGGCAAAGATTCTGATTGGGTGCATTGGAGACCTACTTTATTCTGGGTGATTTGTTTCCTTTGATTATTGTAGGCTGCAAAGTTCCCTCAAGAGCAAATATTCAACGGTTGGCCCTTAAGCATTGGTAAAGTAATCTCAGCATGTTTGAAGAAAAAAGAACTTCCTATAATGCGCATCTCCATAGGTAATAGGGTGATAACAAGTAATTTGAAACTACAACCACAAGCTTGCAATAGAAAGACTCGTCAATCACTCGAAACTTCCCAATGAGTTAGCTATCAAACAAATAACGTTACCAGGCCAGTTCACATTGATGCTAAATCACTAAGAACAGCTCCCAGTTTATAAATAATCCGACGAACTAAAGCTATAAACCGCTGAACTAGTACGCAGATGGAATTATATAAATAGAGTGAACCCTCTAATCCACCCTAACTAATCGTTATTCTGTCGATTATTAATGCATGGAAATTGTCCACAACATAATTTATTCTCACATTATAAGTCGAGTAATTACATCTACCAATATTTAGTCTCACACCTTTGTCCTCCATCTTGCCTCGCCCCTTCAACTCATTCTACACAATTTTCCTAATGTGAAGAAGTCGCTGCCTGCGCAGCCGCACGACGTTTGTCTCTTTCTTCAGCAATACTCAGTTTCACACCCTTGCCTCTTGGCAAGCTAACGTACGATCTCGATCCTTCACCAATGACGAAAACGTTGCCAATACGGGTAGCGAATTGATGACCTGCTGTATCTTTTAAATGTATAAGATCGAACCCTCCAATATGACGTTCTAAAAAAAGCAAAACTTTTATAAGATTTCTGGACGACGAACTTTCTTGCATAAGCTGAACAATTCCCATATCGTTCCATGATAAAGTATTCTTAAATTTCTCTCATACCTCTATGTTCAATAACTCCTACCCTTCCCATGTTACGTCCACCAGTGACCATGGCAAGATTTCCGACATCAAATTTAATAGTATCGGTGACTTTACTGCTTTCTAAATCCACCTTTATCGTGTCGTTGACACTGATTTTTGGATCAGGATAACGATACGTGCGTCCGTCATGAGTAACCATAAACGGGATGCCTTTTTTGCCGACTTGAACACGCTTAACCTTGGCGAGTTTGTATTTAGCCTCATCATCGGTAATTCTGTGGATTGTAAAGCGGCCCTTGGTGTCGTAGATTAAGCGAAAATTCTCGGCTGTCTTCTCGATTGTGATGACGTCTACGAAGAAGAGATCGTTAGTAACGGTATTGTCGACTTTAAAACTAAAAAGAAAAAGGTATATTATAACGATGACACATAGAAGTATACTATTTGATTTGGCAAAAATCTAACTTGCATAATCAAATTCCTTAGCCAGATTCATTATTTGACATTGACAATTACCCATAAATCCAGCAGGGAAAGTTGGATCAGTTCGAACTTTTCCATCGACTTTGATCAGTCTTTGCATTACGATAGACATGACTTCCTTCTTATTTAACGCGTATTTCAGCCGATTTCTCAGAAAAATAACCAGTGGCAAACACTCACGGAGCTTATGTGGACCAGGAGATGGTCGAGGTGCCTGTTAGAGTACGTTGAAAAAAAAATCAAACAATAATTAGACAATGTGAGCAAAAAATGGCAATTAACGAGAAGATAGAAAAACTTACATAAGTCCCTGTGAGCTTGTCCAACATCCAGTGTGATGGGGCATTGAGCCGTTTCAAGTGTTTCCTGGGCCCGCGTGCCTATCTCACAAGAATTACAAGAGAATTATGAGAATTCTGCTTGACATGCACTCTTCGAAATAACAGGTCTCAGACTGCCTTGACAACATGGATACTTCCGCCCCCACAAACCTGTCTGATCTCTTCCGATCGCACTTATCTAGCCTAACTTGCTTATATATCTGCCTTAGACTATAATCACTACATTTATGCAACCATCGCATCCACCCTCAATATTTATCATCCATCCATATCTATCTTTCGCTTCTACCTCCGTCGAACACTATCTTCCCGCACAGTTGCTTCAATTTCTTGATCATTCTCTACTTACCATGATCAGCCTTTATATCAGCGAAAAAAAGCCAATGGGGCGAAGAAGGAAGAACATCGAGTCACGTTTTGAAGTGTTTTATAGTTTGCAGAAAAAAATTTCACAAAGTGTGACGTAACCGACGTACACGACATCAACTGCTTACGCATTCAATTGGCTTTTTCACACCAACGATTTTTCGGATCGACTAAGTCTTCGATATTTGTTGAGATTACCTATCTGGTTTTATTAGTTGTCAGGGAACTCGCAAAAAATGGCTCGAGATACTGCAACGAACGCCAGCTCAACAGAGGACGCAAATGATAAATTGAAAGACAAAACTAGCGGGAAAAACAAGGACGAGAAAGATAAGAAAGACGAGGTGGAAGAGTTGGTATGTCTGGGAAGGGCATTATCGTGGTTATTTGCCAGAACAGTCTCGGTTTAATCTAGTAGAAGTACTAGATTAATACACTGATCGGGCACATAAATAATTACACTCAACGCGTAAATTTTGATTCGGTTTTTTTAAACCGCATTCGTGGGCAAATGCTAGTCATGACATACGACAACATTGATGTCTCATCGAATTTATCTCAATTCAACTGAAAACGTAGTCTGAAGAAGATCAACAATTGAAGAATGAACTGGAGATGCTGGTCGAACGTTTGAAGGTTGGTATTCCTGTGCGAGCTTGTAGAGGCGATTATTCTATACGCCCGGCCATTTGTTTCTTGACGACTTTCTTATGATCATTTTCGAATTCAACTTTTTTTTTGTCTCAACATAATTCCTATTCGTTTCTACCGATTACTTCAGGAACCTGATATATCCCTGCACAACCCGGCCCTAGAATCACTTCGTACGCTTATTCGGACATCGACAAGTTCGATGACATCGGTTCCGAAACCATTGAAATTCTTACGACCGCATTATGCAACTATGGCAGAGATATATGAAAATTGGATTGACTCTGAAAATAAGGTAATCAGGTGTGTTGGAGACAGAAATTACACGTAAAAAGAATGTATGAAAAAGAATATTATATATTACGTTGGCATATTTGTGGGACGTACATAAAGATCATGAATACAGGGAATTTTTCATATTAGTCGAATTTAAGTTAATATCCCGTTCGATACGTATTGTAGAATCGTCTTGCCGATATTTTATCAGTTCTGGCAATGACTTACGATGAAGGCAAGCGCGATTCACTTAAATACCGTCTTCAAGGATCCAATGAAAATCCCGGATCGTGGGGACACGAATATGTTCGGTAAGTATTGTGGCTGTATCTATAAACTGTTATGTCCCAATAACATGATGTTTATTCCTTCTTCAAAATGGGGGTGTTTTTCTAAATCATTATATGATAGTTAATTCCTGTCCACTTTTCAATCTTAAAGCCATTTGTCAACCGAAATTGGTCAAGAATACGTATACCGTACGGTAAATGGGGATTCACCGTCAACCGACGATTTAATGAATCTTGCATTGGATATTGTCCCCTTTTTCCTACAGCACAATGCTGAAGCCGATGCTGTTGATCTGTTGCTAGAACTTGAAGCGATAGATAAATTGCCTCAGTTTGTTGACAGTGATACATATGTGCGTGTATGTCTGTATATGGTCAGGTATGGTTAATCTACGCTTGCAATTTTTTTCTTGTCTCATTTTGGTTCAAGTCCGCACATTAAATTGAATTAATCTACTTTCTAACCCTTAGTTGTGTTAATTTGTTGGGCCCACCGGACGATGAGCATTTCTTGAGAACGGCACATTCTATTTATTTCAAACTTGAAAAATATTCTGAAGCAATGAGTCTTGCTATTCGGCTTAGAGATGATGATCTCATAAGGGAGGATTTTGAAGCAGCCGGGATGAAAGATGCGTAAGTGAAGACGCGCTTGCTTTTTTGGGAGTTGGAATGTTCGATTTTGCAAGGTATTATTACTAATTTATATTTGCATTTAGTTTATTACAGAAGCAGCTTGCGTTTCATCTTGCCAGACAGCAAATTTCACTACCAATTGAGGATGAAGAAATAGAAGCAATATTAAATAATAATCATTTGTCTAAGCATTTTATTGCCCTGGCGAAAGAATTAGATGTTTTGGAACCGAAGTCACCTGAAGATATTTATAAAAGTCATTTGGAAAATATCCGTAAGTGATATTCGTATGCATTCTTAGAACGCAATTGCACTTACCCTGTTGATGAATAATAACTCAATTTACTTGCATGACTAGGGCCCGGATTTACGAGCGGCAATGTTGACTCTGCTCGTCAGAATCTTTCATCAACTTTTGTTAATGCCTTTGTGAATGCTGGTTTTGGAACTGACAAGTTAGTTACCATAAAGGAAGGACATCACTGGATGTATAAGAACAAAGACCACGGTAACTATTATTCGAAACCAAGTAACAAAGACAACTGATAATGGAATATGACATACATTTGGTATTGTATGATTTATTTAATACAAAAGGAAGATTAAGCGCTGCTGCTTCTATTGGTATGATAATGCTTTGGGACGTGGAGACGGCACTCAATGTCATCGCCGATTATCAAACGTCAGAAGACTATCACGTCAAGGTAACTATTATTTGCTCACCGTGATAATATCCAAATTATGTAAGGTTTCATATTCAGCCATTCTGAATATCTATTGTTCTACATATAGGCGGGCGCCAATTTAGCAATTGGACTCGTAAATGCAGGAATCCGCAGTGAAATTGATCCTGCAAAAGCTTTGTTGTCAGAAACAATTGAAGATAGTAAGCAACGAGATATCGTGCGTATATCCGCTGTTGTGGGGTGAGTCGTACGATATGGTGATGTTTTTGTGTTTTCTAGATGAACAAATAGGATTCACATCTATTTTTTCATTCTTTTCTACTACAGTCTCGGGTTAGCTTACGCTAACTCACATCGTGAGGATGTACAAGCTCTACTTCTTCCACTAGTTCTTGATAAAAACGTAAAATTGGAAATAGCGTCTCTGGCTGCCTTGTCACTAGGTTTAATTTCCGTTGGAGATTGTAATGGCGATATTGGTAGTGCGATTGTTCAGGCTATGATGGAGCGTGATAAGGGACAATTGAAGGATACCTGGGGCCGGTTCTTGGGACTTGGTCTTGCACTGTTATATCTTGGTGAGTGATGAGGAATGCAAATTATCATGGAGAGCAGATGAGGAGAATTTGTTCAAGATTGCTAAGAAAAAGAAGAAAGAATCGACAATTATTAGCCTCATTCATGATAAATGCTAGAATACTGTCAATATATATGTATTTAATATATAAATATTTATAATTATGCGTGATATAGGGAAACAAGAACAGGCCGAAACAGTGTTGGAAACACTAAAGGCTATTGATCATCCATTGGGTAAACAAGTCGGAGTGCTGGTTGAAATTTGTTCATATGCAGGTTTGTAGTCGATCCTCTGATTATGTTAGCTTGACTAGTCATTTGTTCTCATACATCTTGTTGCTATCGATTTTGTGCATAGGAACTGGCAATGTATTGAAAGTACAGAAAATGCTTCATATATGTAATGATCATTTGGATAAAGAGAAGGAAGAAGATTTACATCAAGCTTTTGCTGTTCTCGGAGTTGCATTAATAGCTGTTGGTGAAGATGTTGGGGCTGAAATGTCATTGCGAACATTTAATCATTTGGTAGGTACAATATCAATCGATCGTTACGATTAGGTACAAAATTGGCATATTGCTGCGTTATTGATTATCATGATGCCCGAGTTTCTAACTTATTATTTCCAGTTGTATAATAGCTTGTTCATTAACGTTCGCTTATATATTGTATAACGATTTATTTTTCTTTGACTCTAGATGCATTATGGCGAACCGGTGATTCGTCGGACAGTTCCATTAGCACTCGGTCTACTGTGCGCCTCAAATCCGCTACTCAACGTTCTCGAAACGCTCAGTAAGCACTCTCATGATAACGACGCTGACGTTGCAATTAACGCTATCTTCGCTATGGGCCTCGTTGGTGCCGGAACAAACAACGCAAGACTCGCACAGATGTTGAGACAGTTGGCGAGTTATTATCATAAGGAGCCTAATTGTCTGTTCATGGTTCGGATCGCACAGGTATTGTATGACATATATTAAACTGCGAACATAATTTAACTCTCAGATTGTGTTCGGGATGTTCTCTATATTTACAAAAATGTCTTTTTGCATAGGGATTACTGCACATGGGGAAGGGTACGATATCAATTAATCCATTCCATTCTGATCGCCAACTGATGTCACCCGCTGGAATGGCTGGTATATTAGCAACGTTAATCGCGTTTACTGACGCTAAGAAACGTTAGTATTATAAGAAACTCAGCAAGCTCGTTTATTATAACATACGTTGTTTATGACCTTAAGCGCGTCTTTCTCCATTTTATTTCAGTAATTCTCGACAAGTATCACTGGTTCCTCTATTTCCTCGTGACAGCAATGTACCCCCGGTTCCTAATCACCCTTGACGAAAACCTCGAAAGCCTTCCAGTCACTGTGCGTGTTGGACAAGCTGTGGATGTGGTCGGTCAGGCAGGACGACCAAAGACAATTACGGGATTCCAGACACATTCGACACCCGTATTGCTGGCGCATTCTGAGCGAGCAGAATTGGCTACGGAAGAATGTAAGTATTTATAGAGTGGAACATGATTGCTTACATGCGTATAATGGATAATAATTTGTTGACGAATTTGATATAATTTGTAGACATTTCACTCTCACATGTCTTGGAAGGTTTTGTGTTGTTGAGGAAGAATCCGGATTTTATGGAAGAAGATAGAGATTAGAGTAAGATGGATCACAACATCATGTGTATAAAAATTTTCCCATTCCTTTTTAAGCAAAAACCGAGTTTTGAGTTTCGACATCATTATTTAACAAATTGCGTGCTATCATGTTATTGCATCATTGCTGGATGTTATACACATCACTGTTCTATTGCACGAACAAGCCATGCGGATATAAAATGTTCTAAATCACAACGCCTTATTTAAGCAGGTCTATTTGTTGTTGTATTAACATTAATGGTTTAATAACTCTAAGTTACTAACAATCAATGGGTGGGTTGAATTTGCATATATAGTTATGTACGGAAATGTAGAGGATGTTGAGATGCAGACGTGCGCATACATAGTCCATATCAGACCCATCCACCCATTGGGATGGTAAGAATTTATCCGTTTGATCCTGATTGTTCATTTCGCCATTCCACGTATTCATCGAATAAAACTGGCCCTGTTGTGTACAATAAACGGGTGTTATCAACTAATAACGTTCAAAGCGTATTGAATTATATGACACAATGCACGTACAAGCAGAAGTTGGATCGTAATTACTGCAATCTTCGTAGATATTGTTCACAAATGCCCATAGACTAATCCATTGGTCTTTAGTGATTACTTTTACTGGTTTCTTCCCCTATGAAAATGAATATGTATTACTTGTTTAGCCATTTATCTCTAAGTTAAAGTTCATTACCAAATAAAATTATACATGCCTCGAGGAATTGTACAAGGTAATTGATATGCGAATAGTTATTACTTAGCAGTAATTTCCACATTTCTATTGCAACCTGAGTAAACACAGTGAGAATGTATGGCAGCTTGCTCGGTAAATTAACTTCCAATGTAAGAAATGCTATCGATCATCTACCTCCACACTAACACTTCTTTGATTGTCTTCTTTTGAGTAGTTGAATGTGTTTCTGTAAATGTCCTTCAATTGATCCGGATTCCTCAATGCCGCTTCGAGTTCAGGAAATTTTGATATTAGCTTGTCATTGGAATCAATACTAGCGAATTGCATGAAACAGTATGACAATAAATGAGTACGGCTAAACGTGACGTTAACATAAATGTCGTAACCGACATAATGTAATAGGTATCAAGTCATAAGACTTATCGCAATTGCTCATAACATTCAGCGAGTCAAACGGTAATCGCTTCCGTCAACTTTCTTTCCGCTTACCCCCAAACCCCGAATGCCGACGTCCACTCCCCTCGTGTTATATATCCTACACCATGGATGATTGTTAGAATAAGACACACAATTCAATTAACTTTGCGCATTTATGCGTGACTAATAACAGTTTACCGAATTTAGATACATTCAATTTCCATGAGATCAGTATAAGATGTACCTATTGTTAGACAAAGATAAATGTGAAATTAAGAAACTAAAGTAATAAACGTGAATATTCCCAGAGGTTCGCATACACTATCGGTACTAGTTCCAAGATCCGTGAGCCATTTTTCCACACCACTGGGACCAATTCTGTCCTCTGTGTCTTCGGAATCTACTCAGAATATCAGTTATAAAATAATAACAGGTTGAAATCTATGAGAACAGCGTTGTGGGTACTGTACATAAAAGTAACCATGTCGTAATCGTCATATATGATTGTTGATTTCTGTTACAAATTCCTTCATTCTCGATTATGTCAGTTTTATTTACAGTCAATGAAGCTCTATATACCTCTATAAACTTCAAACCACTGAATACATCGTTCTAAAGAGAATCCAGACGATTCCTGACAAATAAAGGATCCATATCATATATTAATATACATGTAATTCAACGCGTAATGGTTATTTAACTAATGATCACTAGGTTACATTAATATTATAAACTTACTTCCATCTTCGGTTTACGCACTCTTAGCGAATGAATCGAATAAAAGAAAAATCAGTTATAAAGATCAATCTACCAAAACTCATCAACTCTACGATATTCACTTTCAATTCATGTTCTCTTCCACCCTTCTCACCGTTTCATATTATTAATAACAGTCTCAGCACTACTCCGCCCGTTCATAGTGCCATCCACGTCTTGACCTCGACCCTTTGTTCGACGCGCAGGGGGGTTAGTTCCAGCAGTAGTTGAGTTCTTTACACCCATGTCTTGGATACTATTAGCTCTTTTTCGCTTCGGTGGCATCAATGTAAGAGTTTTGAAGTTAGGCTGTCAGTACTACAAAAGTGTGAAAGGCAGGAAGTATGAAAGGTAAGTGGTGTGGTGTGAGAGTAAAGACAAAAGAGAAGAGAAAAAGCGAACATATTCGAAAACTTTTAACTGTGATCTGAAAAATACTATTGGTCGTACTAGGATTAGGGGTAGAACAGTGTTCCGACGCTCTCACGTAATATTCTCTTACAACGCAATAACACGTACCTTCATGTACCCTTTTTACCCTCCGTTCACCTGGTTTCAAAGCCCGCATCTTAATATATCATATGGAACATGCTTGTAACAAAACCATGCAAAATGAATGGCGCCACAAAATTCAGGGTTCAATTGTGGCCGCCACACATTTACTTTATCTCACCCCTTTTTATTTTTTATTATTGTAACGCCACACAAAGATTCTGGGGTTCAGTTCAACTGATGAAAGCCACGTCTTTGTAAAAGCGATGCGCACTATACAGAGAAATGCCTGTGACTGACGAATCAACCAGTCTCCGGAAATCATGTATAAAAACTTGAACGTGCTAGTATAATCATGTTGGGACGCGAAAAAAGTTTAATTTTACTGCTTGATCAATGTATCGTTTTTTGAAAACAAACGATATCCTGATAATCTGGTAGAAATGGCAATTACATACTATTGTGTACTTGTTATTTTCGCAGCTCCCTATTTTTTTCAGAACTCTTTAATTTCTCGGTTATTATTCTTGAAAACAAGTGCTATTTAAAGGTATGCTGATCGTCAGCGCTACACGTTGTAACCGAGGACGTGACCTACTCTCGGAGTTAACAAGGTGTCACCTGCTCCAGTGTGGTCGCAATCCGCGTATGAGCGCTCTGTAACTGTACCGAGGACGTAACCTGCTCCCGGAGTTAACAGGGTGTCACCTGCTCCAGCGTGGTGCAACTTACAGGCGAGCAGATTTCACCGGCGACGATATACAGTACATAAGCATGTACGGATACCATTTTGAGCAGCCTTGAAGCGGCTGGTGAATAAGCACGCGTTCGCAAGCTCAAAGCATACCATAGGGCACTCACGTGACGCCCAGGTATTTTTGGTTCACGAGGTCAATGTTCACTTCGAACGTTTTCCCCGAAAAATCAGTTGCCGAGAATTTTGTTAACCGATATTGATACAGAATGTAGGATTAGTTGTGCTTATTGTTGTTAATGATGAACCAGAAATCTCCTTATTACATTTATTCCACAGCAAATCTGTAAATTAAGACTTTTAGACTTTTTTTTGTCTGCTCTTTGTAAATTCAATTTATTATCTATTGCAGGCACCTTCTTCCTCCCAATCCAATATATTTTATTATTATGCTTTCCCATTACCAATCTCGTACGGCCAACTTCTATTACTGTAAATCTGATCAAAAGTGAAGTATATCCAATATGCTTACGAGAATTCTGGACAGTCGTCTACATTGTGGCCAATCACCCATATTCCCTCATTGAATAATTCATCTTGACATGTAGCAATAGTTATCATTAATATGTTTAAACCTAAAAGAGCCAAGAAAATGTCCAAATATAAGGATTGATAGTCTCACTACTTGTTGGAAGTGTTGAATAATGAGAGTAAAAAATTCCAAAGTTTTAAAAGAAACATTGAATGTATATTAATATTGTTAAATTACTTTAGGTCCCCCATCAATTCTATTACTATTAAATCAAAGATATCAACTTTACAGAAACTTTATCTTTTCGAGTTCTGGTAAAGAGTATAGTTACCAATCCCTACAAACTTAAGATCCTTCCGCTTAGAAACCTCGCGTCCGTTACTTGCGTGTCAGTCTTATCCAATTCGAATTTCCCATAATTATAATAATAAAATATTTTGGGTAATCAAAGTTTGTGTAACTTCACCGAGACACTGTCCAATGACATTAGTATATCATCATTACATTAGCGTTAAGTATAACGAAGCTAAAAACCGAAATGACGTCTATAGATCCGAAAAGGCTCTCACAGCCTCTTGTTGCTTTCTGTGCAGCTGGGCTTCTCGCACTATATGTCAGGTAATTTCTACCGAATCTCGTTACTGCATCGGTGGTGTTGAAATACGAACTTGCATGGTTTTTGTCTCGCAGGTATTCGATAAATGAAACCAAAAGGAACAGAGAGAGACGGAGACGAGGCATAATTACAGAGGATGAACGCCGCGTGATGAACAATAGAAAGTAAAGATCTCCACGCAAAGACGCCTGTTAAATTGATTTAATTGTGCGCTTAGAATGACAAAGCTGAAAACATTGTAGGGACAGTAACTATGTCGAAAATTCACCTAAGCAAGGATAAACATTTTCCTCAAAATTAGTTGTACTTGTAACGTGCTGTTTCTTAATTTAAAAAAGAACTATCGGCTTCAATTAAGAAGATTACTATCATCATTCCCAATCAGAAAAAAGATATTTGCATCATCTACTTTGTCTGCCCTGAAACATAATTATTACAACTGGCGTCTAAGGATATCTATCCTATACACACGGAAATGAATTATTTTCAAGTATAGGAGATATAGTAATAAATAAATAGCTTGTCTCCATTAAATTAAGTTCTACGTCTTGCCCGAAAAAAAAGAACTTGGCCAATTCATCTATAACTCAGACAGTTATGCAAATTTTGAACTTTATTATGAATTTATTAAAAAATTACCACAGAATGTGCATCTGGTACGTATTATTATCATTTTTAAATGACTTGAGGAAAGACAACAGTTTCAAATATCAATACCTGCTTAATACTAAATACTGATAACGCAAGAAACGTTACGTGATGAATGTCCTATTGCATCATCAACCGTTTGTGTTCAATTGTTGCTGCGTGTTTGTATGGTTATTGTGGAGTGTGATTATACAATTAATGAGGAGCGGAATAAGTTTAATTCACATACAATATTAATATGTGCACAACATCACGGCACGGGTAATACGCATTATTGTTGAAAAAAGGAATCCGAGCTTTCAAGATGCAACGGTAGCATTCTGCTACAGATGCTTGTTAACAATATTATATCGCGTTTGTACAGCAATCCTCTACGAATAAATAAATCAACCGTGTGTATTCCCTTCTCGACATCAGTTTGAAGATTGACGATCTGAATAAGCCGGAAGGAAAGAAATTTCAATGCCTCTATGTTTGGTTGCTATCTGTCCTCCGCCACCTATGCTTGTTGGTGCATCTACTTTATTCTCTAATTTGACGTGTCGAGGTCAACTTAACCCCAATACACTCGCAATTCAATGCAATATTTCGAAATTTACAGTATAGGAGAATAAAAAGTTTATGATACAAGGAGAGAAACAGTTCTCATCAAATGTTCATGTAGCCAATCCATGCAAGGTAAATCACTCTTAAGAACAATAAATACAAATGCCCATGAGCGAGTGGTAATGAGAAATAACTCAAAATTCTTGATAGCATTAATATTAACTCTAATTCGACAAACGTAGGTCTCAAAAGTCACTTGATAAGTGAAAACAAATCATGGAGTGCATATAAGAGAAAACAACTCTAAATACTGTTAAAAAAGTACAATATAATATAACCCATACTAACATAGTCTCATATGTTCTCTCTTACGTTTCTAATTCTTCAACCATCATATTCTTCTTCGGATGAGTCGTCGCTAGCCATATCATCATCCATCTCTTCTTCCATATCTTCATCGTCTAGCCAGAAATCGTCATCAGGATCAATTTCAGGTTTGGGCTTGTTAGGGATGAATTCAGCGGCTACATAATCAGTGAACAGCGTTATATGACGGTAACAGATTATGTAGAGAATTCAAAGTAAGATATTGATCGTAAAAATTCTGCAAAGTTAATAAGTTTGTAATGCGATTACCATTAGTAGGTATCTTAAAACCGGGTGGGATGTCTTTCTTCGACGATTCTACTTGAGCTGAATGGATTATTATACGGATAAAATTGAAGATGTAGTAACGTTAGACAGCGATAAGTATTATCAATAACAGAACAATTCTCTTATCGCAGAATATCAGTCATACGTACCACGAACGATATTATCATATTGCTCTTTGTTTTTACGATACATAACCTGTGGTAACAAAAAACAACAACTTAATATCACAATTAACGCCAATGATTTCAATGAAACCGAAAATCTTACACCGGCATCCTGTAATATAGTTGAAGCAACTTGTTAGTTTTGAATTTACATATAGTGTCTACGTTATTTTCAATACGTACCACGTTAGCAGGACTTGAACAATTGGGGTCAGCCAACAAGCTGACAATGCTAATAAGAATACCTAAATGAGAAGCGTTACTAAGATTAAAACAAAATATTAACCACAAGGGCAAATAATAGACTTGGAAGTTTTCTCACTTTCTACTGTCTGCGTTGGATTCCAGCGTTCCTAGATAAAAGGCAGTTTGATGAGTATTTGCGGTCAAAACCATGAATTGCCGATACAACGCGTACCTCTGCCGTTTCTCCGCTCGTAGGATCATCAACAGGGGGATGAAGAATAGATATGCAGAGATTTCCGTCAGCGTAAACTAGAATATTCCGAGACAATAAATCAAGTTAGACCATATACAGAAGAGATCTGTTGAAATTTTTTAAAAATTACCATTTGGGTGAAAAAAACTGTTATTGAATTTGAAAGTTGGAGGATTGAAGGGATAATCTTTTGGAAATTTCATGGTTGCCTGATCAAGACGTGTATCCAAAGATCATTGGGGAAAAAAACTTTTAGCTTGGAAATACAATTGCGTAATGTTACTCGTTGATTTTGAAATACCTTGAAATACCCTCCCTCGTAGATCGTAGCGGGAGCACCAATGATGCCAACGTCCCTATAGAAAAATAATGGGAATAAAGTAATGAGAAAGAGAGCAGATGCTATTACTTATCGTCTATGAATTGAAAAAGAAATGCATACGATTCTACATACCACTCAAATATGTTATCATCATGCAACGCTACAGTGAATCCGGGGA